AATGGTTGAAATACCCCCATTCTCATAAACATGAATGTGTGAGTCATCACCAAGGATAACCTCACTTCCCCTTATCTCACAATGGACAAAAATGGCTATGAGGTTCCCCATGGTCCCATAAAATACAAACGCTGCAACTTCTTTACCCATAACCTTTTCCACCTTAGACTCTAATCGGAATGCCGTAGGATATTTCCTAAGGCATCATCATCCACATCAGCGTTAGCCATGGCAGCTCGCATCACATCACAGTATCAGATCTAAGATCCACTGTTCTAGTCACCATTTTCATGTTCTTAGATGAAGATGTGTTGTGTGACCTCCCTTATTTTGTCCTGGATAAAGAACATAGCACAAGCTGTTTATGCATGTTAGGTGAACAACATGACGACTAACAAAGTACTTGAAATATTCAACTATTAACGAAGAAAAAAAAACTAAGAGGAAAACGTGCCAATTATGTTTGTAGTTGCCGCGGCTGCTGAAAAAGTGAAAAGAAAAAAGTTCGATGATGGTTGATTGCGATGAAAGATTCTGCCTTGAACATAATAAGATTTATAATAAACATAGTCAACAGTATAGACATAGTTCATATGAGCATTTCTAATGGTTATATTCTACCATATTAGCAATAAAATAGTTAAAACATATGGAATCAAATATAACATTTTTTGGGAAATGATGAGTAATAAATCTCAAAATATTTAACTTGAATTTGTGATCTAAAGAAACAACATTATACCATTGGTAGCAGACTCCATATGTAATTCATGTTTGGAAGCTTCAAGGAAAGCCAAAGAAGCCCTGCCAGCAAATTATGAAATTCAGGTGAGCGTTTGAATTCAAGTGATCCAATCATAAAAAATTCTTTCTCTCCATCTTCTTCACTCCTTTCTCTTAATAATAAAGCATATTTGTCATTGCAGTGTATAGAGAAAACAAAGAAGCAAATTCACCATACCATGTTATCATTGCAAGAACTCTTTCATGAGGAAAACCTTTGCAACAGCAGAGGCCTATGCACAAACCAGCTAATTCTGCAAGAAGAAATCAAAATTATAGGAGCGAACAAAAAGCCTTTGAAGGAAATAGAATAAGTGAAAGCTCCTTAACTGTGCGGATAACATCTCATCTGCATGACTTGTGATTTTATTCAAAGCCTATCAATAGTCGCTGGCTTTCAATTATATTCCAGACTGGTTTAGATACACGCGACTAAAGTATGTCTAATTCATTCCATCTAAAACTGAAAGTCAAGCATAACAGTTTTGCATAATCAAAAGCTAAAATCAGAAGCACAAATTAATTTTTATGATGAATAATGATTTAAAAAAAAAAGTTTCTTGTTACCTGCTAGCGCCACAAATATATTGAACCCATGCGCGCAGCAGAAATTAATTTATGGAAAGTGACCTTATTGAAGCAT